TCGTTTTTTTTTCTTCTTACATATTAAATATAATGAACAATGTCATAGTTACTTGTAACTGTAAGAATAACTTCGATTCCATTTGTAGACAATTGTTGTTCTCATACAAAATTTCGGTTCATTAAACTTATTTCAATCATTATCATCTAAACATTTCAACTAGAAATTTCAACTTAATTGCCGCCAAATATATAAGTATCAATGAATAATATTAATAAGAGCAAACTATCGGTGTTTTATCAAATAGCGAAGTAGGATAGCGGAGTAGCTCACAATTATATTCCACATCATAGACTGTAGCAGACAACCACAATTAATGCCCTTAAGTAGCGGATTCAGGGATTGATTGAGATCCATTTTTCTTGTATAGTGCTTTATGAAGATATCCATAAACATGTATGTGATACCCATCGTTATTTCAAGTAAGATGTACTCCGAAATTAGGACTGAAAGTGTAAATGAAAATTATTAAAATTAAAACGGAAACACAATCTTAACGAGTTACAAGATAATAATTTTCCTTCGTGGAGTAAAAAAATAATTTACCACGATCAAATAAGACTTTGGAAAATATATCAAAATTGTGGCTTGTAGACGAATATGTGTAGGCAAGGTAAATGAACTTCTTTATGCTATCCCACCTAAAATGTTTTTCTAGGTTGAACTCCTGAAAAATAATAAGAATAATAATCAATAATGAGTATTGTGCACGAGTTGGCTGATAAATTAAAATGCAATTGAAGGCAACTTTCTGCCCCTGATTTTATCTTCACGGTTATCTTAATGTGAAAAAAACAATTTATCACTTTTTAAGGAATCATTCGTCGTGGAAAATACACATTCCTTTAGAAATATAGCACTTAAAGACGATGAAAATATTTTAAAACATAATTAATAAACTGCTACACAATTTCTAGATGAGCAAAGAGTAAGAAATAAAGAAAAAGTAATTGGCGGAAAGTTAATTATCCTTTGTTGCATAAAATGTAGGCTCCAGATTGAAACGTGAAGCTTTCAAGACAAAAAAAAAAGAATTAAAAAGGCAAAACTAATTAAATATAACGATGCTGCGAATAACTTACGCTTTTTTCATGTAGCGAAGAGGTACTGATATGTAAATCGTAACCCATATTAACGGTAGTTGTGAGTATTCTATAAAAGTAAGTAAAAAACGAATGACAATTTTATGAGGACACAATGTTATACAGCTTTAGATAGTTCTGTTTGTCAAAGTCTCTGTTTCACCGCGCTTAGTTTAAATTCAAAGAATTATGTCCTCGGCTCATTGTTAAAGTTGGTAACAAGAGCAGTTCCTTTCTCGTTCAAAGGTTCGTATCCTATGAGGACATGTTTTAGCTAGCGTTTTTGCCTCGATGCCGCGGTGGGCAAGGTCGTATCGGGCAATATCGTGTATTTAGTGAATATTTTGCACATGTAGTACCTAATTTATTTTTTATTTTAATAAAAGTTCTCAGTTAAACTAGAATTCCTACCTTTCAAATACTTTAATGAATTTCACTGTTAACACGGGCTACCGTAATTTAAAAAAAAATAATTTAATCAGATCTATGCTGAAATATTAGCTGTATTTATAAGTCTTGCAGAAGTACTTGGGAGATGGATTTAATTTTATCAACCACACGATCTCAAGTTGCTTGAAATATCCGTCGATTCAACTCTTATCCATTTTTGTCTTCATCAAAATTGAAATCCAATTCCGTTGCCAATCGAGCACGCGGTTCACCCGATGTAAAGTGAATACCGCCGTCCATGGACATCTGCTATACCCGAGGGTTTGTAAATGCGTTGACAACCTTTGAAAAAGTGGGTACCAGCTACCTCACTCGCCAGACGAAACGCGAAAGTATTATTTTTCCGTTAGGCCGTGATACTTCCCCGGACGAGCCATTCGTGCAACATAAGCCGCTGCGTGGCCCTACTTCAACGTATTGTACAGCATAAAATGAAATTGAAGATATTTATCATATATATTTATTTATGTAAACGTAATGAATGAATACCAATAATACTCAGTTTGCACAAAACAGTAATATTTCGCCGCGGATTTTATTCTTAAGCTTAGAAAGAAATAAAAGCTTAATGCTTTAAGCGCAAATGTGTCCGTCGCCGAAAATTTAATGGAGTTGTTCACAACAAATATAGATTAGTAATGAGCACTGTCAACGTGCCTTTAACATTGTAGTAACAAGGATTATTTATATAATAGAAAACATTAAATGGCCCAATCTTATGAAAATTATGCTTCAGTTTTATTTTTCTTATCGGTAGCACATTTTTAAATATTCAAAAATTAAATAACCAAATCTTATTGTAAAAGCTTATTAATTTTTTTTTAATTTGTCTTTTCATATCGATTAAATATTACTGGAAAGGTAGATTTGTTTACTTAAAAGTGACGGCTGGAATTTTAGACTTGTGTACTTATGTACCAATTACGCAACGCGCGACTCTGGGATTCGATTCCAGTGGCGTGCATCTATTAGAGTTAACGTGTATAAATTACCAACGTGTATAAATCCACAAAGCTTTTCAGCGGCCATGTTCGTAAGAAAAAAAAATATAATTAACTGTCATAGTCCTGTTTAGATTGAAGAAAATCGAGTTCGTTATTCTCTTTATAAAATGTTAGGATAAATAAAACGTACTGAAGGCATCTAACGACATGCAACGTCAACAAAATTCAACAGGCTTAGTGTCGGCCCTAGAAAATGTTTTAATCGAAGTAAATTACGAAAACCGTAGAAGTTGAGTGTCTGCGCCATGCTTTCATTTCAGTATTCCTAACCAACTTGAGTGCATACCCCTGGTACTAGCATTAATTAAATTCTTAACCGTAATTTTAAGTGCTAATTTACCACGGGCTCAGCGGTGGAGGTAACCATAGCGATAAAGTATCATCATTTTTATTAAGATATTCCAAATTGAATATGCATGTTCAACGATGTTTGATAATATTTACCTGCTACTCTAACTGTCGATTACGGGTAAAGTTTTTAGAGCGTAATTATGTATGAAATACTCCCAGAATTGAACAACGAATATTATTCAATTCTGGGAGTATTTCATTTCAATATAGTGTCCACGAAGAAAAGATTAGGTTTTTTATAGCAGTTGGTTTTAATTTCTCGTTAAATAATTTACATTTCCTTCATATCTTATCTGTCAGATAAAATAAATCAAGTTTAATGCCTAAATTCAAAATCATAAGTTGACAGTAGCCCGGATTAACTAAGACATTAGGGATAATCACGTTTTAGGACGTCAAATCTCCTTAGTGAACAAACATAGACACTTAAGAAATTTTACCATCAGTTTGTAATAAATTTATTTTGAGCCATATTCATCTTAGTTTATGACGAGCCCTGGCGATGTCTGCCCGCTTCACAGGGTATTTATTTTTTAAGAATATACGTCTAAGCCTAGCCAATTAGTTCGAAGTAAACTATAACATAATCTGCATAAAAACATTCATATCTATAAAACAAATATTGTTTTATAAATTTTGGAAAAGATTTCGGGAATCGATAAAAACATGACGGCTGTATTTAAGTTTTGTCGCTGCTTCATCAGTACAGCCGAACTATATTTGTTTTGTAATCAATAAAATGGCGGACTTCCATAATAAAGAAAAACAATCTTTATTTTTTCTATTAATAGTAAAATGAACAAATAATATATTATGGGTTTTTTAATTAATTTATTTGTTAAAAGTAAAATATTTGTGCATCAAACGTTGTGTAAAATTGTAAATGCCTGTCCAGCTACTTTTCTTGTAGTACTGTGTAATTACATAATTCTAGTACTATAACAATATGTTTACAATCGTAATTGTAATACTCACCATGTCCAATACGCAACAACATGTAAATATATAATTGGATACTTTGAATAAGTTGTCATCATTGCTCATAAATTAGACTGATTTAGATAATGGTTGATTTCAATAATCTAAATAAATGTAGGAACAAAATATATGAAAGATAACGTGAAGCACATACAAAGGTCTAGTCATTTTGAGTCACATTGATTGACACGTGTCAAAATTGCTAAACTGTTATATACATAGGTTTCAAAAATATAATTATATGGGCCTCCTTTGTCAACTAAAATAAATTTTGTGTACTTTGATAGATTAACCATTTCTCTCCCGTTCCTATTCTCTCCTCAAATTGAGCAGCTTAATGGTTTATTTCGCTTCAATTTACTGACTAAGCATTTGTTGGTACTGTTTACGTGTCATTCAGCTACCGCTTAAGACTAAACTAGTAGTATACAAGGCATCCGCTCGCGCTTGACAACAGCTTGAAACGCAGTCCCCAGACGCAGCAGAATCTTGCCCTTCGAATGCACGTTACCTCCACGTACTTTTGGTCAGGAACGACGTGATCTCAAAATTTGGTGAATCAGTGAGTTTGTGATCCAGTTACCCCGTCGAATGAGCGACAGACCCGACAGTGTATCACATACTCAATTGCAGAACATCGCAGTCCTACATGCTCATTCCCCCGAGGACTCCCGGCAGCAGAGGAAAAGAATTATTTACACATATTAAGTATGAAAGACCATACAAATAATATTTAGCACTGATTATTTATAATGAGAGATGTTGCCTTGGCCCTTTAATTTTATGGTCATTTTTTATTTGCTGCTAATCTCTGCAATATGCAATTATAAAATAGCCAATTGCAGAACCTAAAATGAGAGTGTTGTCGTAGTATTAGAAGCAACCTAACGTTTCAAAATTTATAAGTCATTTCCAAATTCATTGAAGTGATAGGTGCGGCGTAATTTTATTAAACATGGTACCTATAACATTGCCACACACTTTAAACAATGCAATTGAGGTCATAAATGATTAAAAAAAATCTGGATAAATAATAATATTTATTTTCCCATCCTTATATAATACTTAGGCATCAAATCATTAATTGCAGGAATCACGAAGACTTGCTAAAATAAGTGATCCAATATGTGTGTTATTTATTCTGCCGCGGCGTAAAAACCGCCGAATAAGGACGGGGTCCTGAAATCAAACCGATTATCGGTTCGGCGGATGGTAGAGTGCCATCGCAGCAGTCGATTTGAAACTTTTGCAAGATACCGACGAAGACTATAAAAATGAACGACTTGGCTAAAGCATCCCCGGGACATCTTCGCCGACCTGCGGAGAATTTTTTCTACACATTATTTGCGGTATTAAACAAATATTTGATAAGAAAGTTAGTCATTGGCGAATAAGCAACATATTTGGTTTTATTTGAACGAATGCAGGATTTATTAAAAAGCAAATCCATTCCGTTTGATCGATACAGGACTGTCCATTTTTGACCCGACGTGTGACTTGAAATGTATGCTTTAGCAATCATTCCAAATATTATGATTAATTAAAACAGAAATATTTTGATCACCTGTACACAAAATTATATTTTTTAAAATATCAATAAAATCTTACAATTCTAGATCTGTTTAGTGATTGTTTTAGTCACACTCAGGGCCGAAATACCCATAAAAGGTGCACAAAGCCCTATCTTCAAATCAACTCTCTAAGCTAAACAATAGCGGTTTGGTTGTTTAATTAACAAACCAGTCAAACATTGCAGAGACAAAACGAAATTGCATTATAATAGATGTTACAAAACTCGTGTAAATTTATTTCACTCAAACTGGAAAACTATATTAAATAGTTTTTAAAACTAAAAATATGGTCAGGAAAATACGGACAAAAGCTTCTTCTTACTACCTTCAACAAAAATATACATTGCAAATAAAAAAAATATACAATGGACGTAAATTACGTTTTCTGAGAGCAATAAAAACCCTTTTATAGTATAAAAATTGAACATTTAACTTATAGATTTGACTTTAGATGCAAATTTCAATTTGCCCTCCATTGCTAATTACATGGTTAAGATTCTGCACCGGTGTCACGGTAAGTATTAAATTACTATGTTGTAGCGAATGCATGAATGAGCCAGTTCGATGGGGTAGGTAATATGACTCTACAGAACACTGGGATAAATATGTATACTTTTGTAATTTTTTCGGTCACTAAAAGCCTACCGTCTTAAAGGTTTACGACGTACTTTACCCCATACATCACTGGTGTTGCAAATATGTATACAGAACTGCCTGTTGTACAGATTCATTATAAACCAAACTACGCGCCTATGAACCTTCTTTTATAAGAATAAAACTTAATTAAAAACTTAATTAAAACTTCATAATTAATTTTTAAAAAGCACGGACGCAACACAGCTACATTTAATTCCACCTCACAGAATCAAGAGGCTTTACATTTAAAATGTGTACTTACCTAGGCCAAATGGATACAAATGCTCTGTATTTTTCAATGCGCCCCGTTCGTCTATAAATCTCTCAGGCTTAAATTTTCTCGGCTCGCTCCATATCTCCGGGTCGAAATGTAAATCACCAATTGCCATGAGTACCGTTGTTTCTTTCGGTATGAAATATTCATTTATAAATGTGTCATTAAGGACCCGGCGTGGACCCATTAACGGTACTATTGTATAAAAGCGTTGTACCTCATGGAGAAACGCGGTAGTGTATATGAGCCTGTAAAAAGAAAATAATGTGTTACAATGTGATACCATCGTATATGTTTTCAAGTAAAAATAAAAAAGTAAAAAAAAACCTAACGAGAAGGAAACATGTTTCCATCGAATCAAAATAATTTTTAACATTTGATCGTGGCAGCTATAATGATTATTAACACAAAATTATTTATTAGATGTAATTGAAGGTACTAAATTATGAGTACGATTAAAAACAAGAGATACGTTTTAACCAATCGTTATTCTATATTAATCAGGAAAGACGTACTGTATAGTCAGCTTTTAATATCTGTATAGAGACTGTTTTTTGGCGTTCCAACGTAAAGGAATCCGTGTATCGCACTATATACATAGACCACTGTTTTGTCCGTCTGTCTGTCCATGTGTTACCACCGATTTTTTTTCAGGAACGGATGGACCTAGCAAGTTGAAATTTATACCAGAAATACTGAGGTCTATAGTCTCTAATAGGTGTATAAATAAGTTTTTATACACCTAGAAGGAGTTCCTGGGTAAACGATAAAATGATATGGATAAATTTACATTTTCGAGAAAACTTGTAAGTAGATACCAAAAATTAACCTATTTTTCAATTTTTTTATTTTTAAGAATTTTCCCTTTATTAATTCAACTTACTTAAACATACTTTTCTTTTGTAAATAAATACATATTATGCATATATAAACACCCAGGCATTTAACTTAAAGGTATGCACAACATTATTTATAAACATAAAAGGCACTATTCTATGCAATATAAGTAATATTATTTAAGGTTTAATATTCAAGGTTTTTATCTAGAGTTTGAATATAGTATTAAAATAATTTCTTCAGGAACCCAGACTATCGCTAAAGATATCAATATTACATTTATCGAAAATTTCATTGTACTTTCACATCATAAAACATACAGGAGAGTTACTACCATACTTATTGCTATTAAAATTTACACTGAAGGTGTGAAAATTACATAACAGTTTTTAAACACACAAACAGTTATCATAAATAAACTATAGAAACGAAAACTAAAATGGTAGTAACTCCATTAACATGAATGCTTTTTCCATCTTTCCAATTAAAAATTGATGACGTTCGGGAAAAAAGATATTTCATTAGTAATCCTGAAATCACTTTCTCGTATGTTCATTGAATGCAAACATGTCAGCTAAGTAATTAATTGCAGAGTTTATTAAGCAATATAATATGAAGAAAAATGTGAAATTTTTCTATGAGCATATTACATTTATGTCTTCATTTCTATTCTGTTAAAATTTCATAAAATCAATCTAATTTTCAGGCATTAGATAGACAAAAATAAAACATAAAAGGTATACTCAATGAACTTACTGTACACACTTAATTCAATTGAAAAATTCACAAATGTAAGAAATCACAACGTACAGTATTCGTATGTGCATGCTAGTTCAAACGGATAAGGACCTCTTTTAAAATGCTTTGCCGCGAATAAAATACTGGAAAGAAGTGCACCACAATAAACTCAAAGGAAGCGACCGTCCCGCCGTACAATTGAAAAGCATTCGTCTTCCAACGAGTTTTGCACGATTTGTAGCAGGGCCGAAAAAAATAGAAATTGGTTCGAATCACAATCGGGTCAAGTGCTTATGCATATAAGAGGGAGCATTCCCAAATGAATGCTTCAGATTTTGTTGATAGGGTATGAGAGATTTTTATAAGTATTCTATTACGCAGATAGCATTTTATTAGCAAATCATTGATTAAAAAACGAACAAAAATAACTATGTAAAACTTAAAAAACTTAGACTTATTTCTCAGGATGACATAAAAATGACATAAAAATACATGAACTTGACAATTTTCAATCATGTTGAGACCAACATAAAAAAATGTTGGATTTTTTTGGACTTAACCATTACAGACTGAGAAGTTATACTATGGCCGTAAATATATGTATTTACGTTTACGGAGTGATCTTTAAAATAATGCATTTTGAGAGGACAAGGAAGTTTAGCAAGGAGTCAATAGGATATAATATAGTCAATACGGCAAGAGAGGTAACTTCGACGAAAGATGCAATAAAGATCATTACGCAGTTCGTATATCAACTTATAAGGTGTAAAAAAAAATGAAGGCACGCTTAACATAAGTGACAATGGCGTATAATAAAACAATAATATCTGTAGTATCAGATTAAGTTCAAGACATTCGTTAGGAGCACGGAACATCGGTTTATGGAAAGATAACGATGTTGTACTATGCTACTAAATGTATTATTGAAGAGAAGATTTTAGTTTCGTGTTTATAGGCGCAAATAATTTACGCTCGGTCGCCCACATTGAATTATTTGTATTGTCCTGAAATTTATCACACAACGAATGAAACATTACGAGGACCAATAATTTTGACAAATTTACGTTACCCTGAACATATGATGGACGGTCACGGCGAACACGAATTAATGGAATAATTAAGTCATTTCTCATTAATTAGTGCGCATTGTGTCGCCTGTCACAGGTCCTACCACCTAAATACGCACAGTACATAAGTACACTTATTTCCCAGACACTTCGGCTTACAGATTTGCGCGATTCATTCATATCTCTGTCAACTCTTCCATAACCACACGTAAAAGCATACGTGCACTTAATTTTCCGGTACATTTTGGCCAAAATTCTACCCGAGAAACAAAATATAGATAGCCCCATATCCCCCCTTCCACCCCCGTATTCAAGTTCTACAAGAAGTTGGTGAATTTGCCGGGGTTATCTACATATTATATTTTAAATCAGAACAACCCCCTTACCAAGTCTATTCCTTAAGTCTTAATAACTCGGTGATATGTTAATTAATAATCGTATTGTTATAAAGCGCTCATAATGTGTTGTACGTCGAACTTGTGAATTTGTATTGCCATATAAGATAAGGTTTTAGTTCAAGAACATGTCTACAGAATTGAATCAAAAGTAATTGAATTCATAATGCACTGAGAATGAAAAATAAATTTAAAAAGTTTTGCGTAAAACGGTACGCTTTTCAAATCGAGTTAATTATCCGTAGCCGCTTGAGGTATAGTGCACTTGAACTTCGTAAGAAGATTACTGTATCGATCACACTGTGACCTTTGCGGGAAAATAAGGCTTATTCTGGGCAGAAAATGAAATAGTTATCTTGAAGTTTAAATAGATTCTGTTATCTTATAGAACGTTTTTTCTTAATAACTCTGATTTTCAAGGTTTTAAATTGCAAGGTAAAGTTTATTGTTTCCTCTTCAGAAACAATTATGGTGTATCTTTTTGTATTAACCGTGTCTGGATATTTTAAGATTTCTCTCAGTGAGCAAAGTTAGGATTTTTTATGATATTATAAATACATTATGTTAAAACGAAACATTGTGTCTGCTTCTTTTTCGCCGCAGCGGATTAAAAAAAAATTAAAAGTTACATTAAAACTCGGATTATCATAAGGGACAATTGTATTGCAATACATTTGAAGAAGTACTATTACTACCACCACTTATCTATTAATACAGAAATACGAATACACTTTCGTTTTTATAAACAATATTATTAAAAAAATAGAAAACGTAACTATACCAATAATAAATTAACTACCAGCTAAGAGCGAGTTGGACTCGCGCACGAATGGTTCCGTATCACTATTTATAAAAACGGCAAAAAATTATGTCTGTTGTATGGAAGCCCCATTAAATAGTTTTAAATTCTATTTTTTAGTATTTTGTCAATTTTTGTTGTGTCAAAATTGTTAAAATTTTCACATCATCTGTGAAAATTTCTACTGTCTTACTATCACGGTTCATGAGACAAGACAAACAGTCAGACGGACAGCGGAGTCTTAGTAACAGAGTCCCTACGTATTACACTTTCAGTACGGAATCCTAAAAATGTCGAAAACGATTGGATACGTTCTGGTTTTAAGAACAAAAATAATTAAGGCATACATTTCTATATAAAAAAAATAGTTGCCGTAAGCGAACCTTATCCTTTAAACTAGCAATTCTTGTATATATATATATATAATCAGAATCTCGGAAACGGCTCCAGCGATTGAAAAATATCATTGGAATATGACAGTAAATTTCGCCGCAAAAAAATGTTATAATAGCTCGGTAGGTAATCAGGCAGCCCTAAAACAGACGGCCGCGGTTCGTATCACGATCATTTACACACTTATTTTATTTTACTTTTTTTTTCTATACCAGGCCTCCAGGTACTAGTTTCAAACACACATATTTTACTTTGACGAGCACACATAATTTCTAATAAAGTTAAAGCAAAAATCTGAACATTAGCACCAACGAAAAATTAATAAGTGCTTAATTATTACAATTATTATCAAATTATCGTAGTAATAAAACACTACCAACATTCCAAAAAAAAACATTTTTTATCATAGCTTTTTAAAATTGTTATAAAAAATATCACGTTCAAGTTACATGTTCACGTTTGAAAAGTAAGATTTCTAAGAACTCGTTACTTATAGCGTCGGATAGGTTTCATTTCTTTACAGTTTAAAAATATTTGTAAGGAAAAAAGCGAAAGTGTCGTTAACTTAATAAAATTCTAGAATTCGAATTATACCCTAGTACCTGTTGCTGTCCGACCATGATGGTATTTTGTCCACCAAATTTTGACTTATCTCGTTGTGAAGCTTCTCCTGCATATCTTTGTTCCTCAATACAGTAAGTAATGCGAACTGCAGCACGTTGCTCGTTGTCTGTGATCCAGCGATAAGTATGTCTAAGCATATCGTTTTTAATTGCTCTTCTGGAATATAAAACAAATAAAGATTTATGCGGATGATATTTAATATTGCTTATTATTGTTTGCTTTATAAAATTTCCATTGAAAATAGGGTTAGGGTTTTATAAGCACTACGTCAATGTTCTTGGTTAGCCTTATTTAAGACTATTTGTAGAATAAGTTAGAAGAATTTTAAAGTTTTTTATGGTGCTAATCTCTGCACTTAAGACTGAACATTAAAACATGTAGAAAAAGTACGAGAAGATTGTTGCCGCTGTGGGAATCGAACCCACGTCTTCGGCATTCGCGGCCTGACGCTCTAGCCACTGAGCTAAACGGCTTCTAGCCACAGCGACGAAAATCTTAACGCCTTCCTTTCTTCATTGTTATTTAGCATTTGAAGCAATGCTTGGCGCATCTATTGTTATATCCTTTCCAGCATACAAACAATTTCGAATATCGTTTTACAACGATAATTCGAACGAGAGATGTCGCCATTGCTTTTTATAAATTTTAAAGTTTTTTATAGTGCTAATCTCTGCACTTAAGATTGAACATTAAAACATGTAGAAAAAGTATGAAAAGATTATCGCCGCTGTGGGAATCGAACCCAAGTCTTCGGCATTCGCGCCTGACGCTCTAGCCACTGAGCTCAACGGCTGATAGCCACAGCGACGAAAATCTTAACGCCTTCCTTTCTACATTGTTATTTAGCATTTGAAGCAATGCTTAGCGCATCTATTGTTATATCCTTTCCAGCATACAAACAATTTCGAATATCGTTTTTACAACGATAATTCGAACGAGAGATGTCGCCATTGCTTTTTATAAATTTTAAAGTTTTTTATAGTGCTAATCTCTGCACTTAAGATAGAACATTAAAACATGTAGAAAAAGTACGAAAAGATTGTCGCCGCTGTGGGAATCGAACCCACGTCTTCGGCATTCGCGGCCTGACGCTCTAGCCACTGAGCAAAACGGTTGATAGCCACAGCGACGAAAAGGCGAAGTTAGAAGAAATTGCACTATAGAACTGCTTTATCCGCGTGAGCTGGGTTAGTGGCTATATAGGTCAGTACTATGCACTACAAAGATATTGATTTATCAACACTATATCTATCTCTTACAAGCCACATTAGGAGATTTTAGGTCAAATAAAAGGTGATTTTTGAGCATTATTATTAGGCAGACACATTAATCCTAACGAGTGAAAGTTACTTCATCCTCAAGACAATTTTATGAAGATAAATATTTGACTTTTGCAGCATGTTACTTGGACGCAGAATTTAGGAGAAAATGTAAAATTAAAATACTTCAACATTATTATTTACCGAACGGGCGGCGGTAGCGCAAGACGCAGCCGCCACAGTGGGGCAAGCGGTGCTGATACCTCGAATTCCGATAGTACCCACCGATTTACCTTTTAGTTTTAAAGGATACAATTTCCTGTGGAAGTGTCGTTTGCTGTCACAATAAATAAAACACAGGGACAGACATTCAAGCATACCGGAATAGATATAAGGTAATGCTATTTTTCTCCTTGCCAATTGTATCTGTTACCTTACCTATATCCGGATTAAACTACTAGTTAAAATCAATTCAAAATGATATTAAAGATTCTAATAATGATGATGATGATAGGCGTGATTACTATATTTACATAATTGTATATATTTATATAAGTGTATATTATTCTACTGTTCGTGTATCACTGAACTCCTCCTAACGTATGGACTGATTGTGTATCTCTCTCAGGTCGATTCGAGAACGATTTTTTTTTAATTTTTTTAAGTTATCGGATATAAGTCGTGTGTACAGAACAACGTCTGCCCGGTCCGCTAGTAATATTATTCCGTTTTCCAATCTCTTTTCAATTCAGTTTTCCAATTTCCTTTTGTGTTTTTCAATATTTTTTTTAATTGCTTTGAACTCTAAATTTAGTTGTATATTCTATAAATTGTACAAACCGATGTGTTGAGAAATATTTTTTTAAAGACATTACAGATTTGAAATATAAGTAACCAATGACGTTTCATTTTTACACTTAAAAACGTCGCCATTACTAAGAAAAAACAAAAGTGCTGTGGGTCCACAGCATTCCATCAAACAATAACTCTTTGTGGTCAAAATTGACATGTGTCAAACACACTACGTCAGTTGAACTGGACAGATTTATATATAGATTTACATTTCCCTTTCTTAATGTTCTACCTTTAAAATAAATTATCGGCTATTTCCATTACCACTTAACAATTATTGCATTAACAGTTTTAAAACACTCCTCTCAAGAAGTTTTTCCCGAAATCGTAAAAACGATTCCAGCTACTTTAAAGTGTATTGTAAATAATAATACAATTACGTTCAATAAAAGTATTATTTACAAATCAATGTTAAGTGGGTGCTTGTTTGGCTTGGCCGATGCTTTTTCATTGCGAGCTTTATTAAAAGGTGTACACTTGTAGTTTAAGAGACTTATGAAAATTATAAACAAATTTATTTATGCATCATTTCATTGTATTTGAACATAAGTAACATGATTGATGACTCTCTTCCGATTTTTATCGAATTAGTATAAAAAATTGTTTTATAAAAAATTACTGAATTCCTGGTCTCAATCGGAAGTGACCGGAAAGCGCAGCAAATGACCGGAGATCAATTTAAGCAATCTTAAGGCTTTATATCTCTTCAAAACCTAAATAATTGGTAATACCAATTTCTATCATGTTTCAACATTTCTAACTTTTTGTAAGAACACAACATAAATTTAAACCTTTTTCGTGCTCAAATTATTTGATTAGCGATTTATTTATTAATCCTATTTGCAATTCAAAATTATAACTACATAAGTGACGAGAATCAGTAAAAAGTTACTCATTCATTCAATTTACAACATTAAACTAAAGAAACGGATTTTTTATGCAAGGGACTGTTTAAATTTACAACAGTTTTAGAAAGAACTAAAATAAAAGGAATAAATTTTTTAACAATTTTTTTAAACGATTGCATAAGTATGTGATTTTAGGGCACTGCTAAATTAATCACTTGTTCTAAAATATGTAACTTTAGATCTTAAAGGAAAAAAAATATCGCTATTTGGTTACTAACTTTTAAAAATTAATTTGCATTTTCTTAGGTAATTTTTTGTACTCACCTGTAAACGTTTCTTTGTTTGCATCCATTTCCTCCAAAAAAGTATAAATAAAGTCTGTTCCCTCTACCAGTTTCTTTTTGTGTTTTTCAATATTTTCCTGTAAAATGATCTATTGTGATGATCGTTACAACATACAAAAATTTAAAGTGTTAGTTTGTGTTAAGCAAAATAACCAATAAAACCGTTTAAAAACTTTTAAGTTAAACGGTTTTATTTTATTTTTTTTTTGTTAATATTGTATTGTCATCTAAATTAAATGTGTGTACCAAATTTTAGATCAATCTGACAACGGCAAGGTGCTTAAATTTCAATTTCTAATTTTGACCCAAACAAACAAATAAAACCGTTTAAAAAGAAACAAAATGGAAGCTAGACAACTGTATAAATGTATCAAATATTTAGAAGATATCAAGTTAGAATACTTAAATAATATTTCTTTAGCTATGAAATTGCCGTTCTTTAGTAGTGGTCATTTATAACAAGACAAAAGATTTACTTGACCATAAATTCTAAACTCAAATAAATTTTGTTTTAAAAACATGAAATTCTTTTTACAAATTCAGTATTTTCTCTATCTGTTAGCTTTGTATCTTCATCATTACATTTGATAGTTTTTCGTCATAATGGATACCTTAAAAATTCGTGTAAGTATGGAATATGAGTTCCGTCGTTGCACCAACACGGCACAAACTACACGTAACATCAATAAAGTTTACGGAGAGAACTTTACAAACGAACGCACAACCCGTTATTAGTTTCCCCGGTTTCGTTCTGGAAATTTTGACTAGAAAAATGAACCTCCTGGTCGTCCGGACACTTTGGTGAACAATGATGAATTAAAGGTGACTGTGGAAGCTGATGATACTCAATCTACAGCCGAGCAAGCAGCAGCTTTTGATGTTAGCATCTACACAATATTAGTGCATTTGCAACAAATTGGCAAGGTAAAAAAGCTCGATAGCCCAACCAACAACGATCGACAGCGCCACGTAACCGTCGAGACGTGCCTTGCGCTGCTTAATAGGCGCAGAAATGAAGGAAACTAATTTATAAAAGATTTTAACAAAATTGTTACGTGTGACGAAAAATGGGTTATTTTCGACAATCGAATGCGATCAGCAAGTTGGTTAGATCCAGATTCAGCGTCAAAGCAATGCTCTAAACGAAATATGAGCCCTAGACAAGTGATCATCACTGTTTGGTGGTCTAGTGTTTCATTACGTTTTTTTTTTCAAAACGGCATAAGCCTTACTACTGATGTGTACTGTGAAGATCTGAAGACAATGATGGAGAATCTCGTACATCTGCAACCACGTTTAGTCAATCTGCTCCTTCACGACATCGCGCGAACCCATACTGCACAACAGACAGTCTAAAAGCTGCAAGAATTGGGGTTGGAAGCTCTCATCTGCCATACTCAGACCAGACCTTGCACCTATCGACTATTACTTTTTCCAAAATTTGGAAGACTTTTAGCGGAAAAAAAATCAATTACCAAGAGTCAACAAACTCTTCAAAGGCATTTTGTGCTCCTGAGTTCACAAAGAGGGCTCTACTAATGCTAATAAACTACTACTGCGTTGGCAAAGATGCATCGATTGCATGGGTGATTCCTTTGAATAAAAGAAATAAAAAAGTTTGAAAAAAATAAAGACGTTAACTTATTGCATACAAAACGGCAATTTCATACGCTTTCTTATATGTATTTATACTGTCCCAAAGACAGATTTATCTCTGCTATTAATTATATGATTATTTCATAGTTAATTAAGAACTACTTCTGATCACTATAATCATAGTGATTTATAGCAAAATGCATTTGCTGCAATGCCATTCGCTGACACGACATGCAATAATTATTATGAGTAACTCAAATATAAATATAAATAATGGGTTACGATTCTGTACAACATTACTAAGATATAAATTAAAGAGTGATAACAGTACCTCAATAATTTTAGATATTTGCTCGTTCATCCTTTTTATAAGAGAATAACCACTTAGCTCGGGAAATATAAACCTGCACCAAGGCAGTTCATTCAGCAAGCCTCCAGCAATCGTAAATGCCTTAGATCGTGCATTAAGTAACCCAAGCAAATGTTTTAAGCGCTTATCATCTATTCTTTCCCCTAGGAAATATAAGTAAAGTATATTTTATAACATTTACATAGATATAAACAAATGTGTCTTTGCAGAAAAAGTTGGGAAAGCATATAAAATACCGAGCCATTAAGTAACATTCGAAAATCTAAAATATTAAAGAAAAGTTATCCCGTTTGTTGGGAATGTTTCCATTCTCGATAATAATCGCTTTTAATTTTATACCAAGACAACTTCCTGCTTCAACTTATTATTTTCTGAGAAGGCTTCTTTTAATATACTGTTGAGAGCGAACTTCAAAATTTGGCAGCCGTTAGTGACTTTGCTGAATCCATAACTATTTGCCTACGTGGCAACGTAACGGGAGCTGTTATTTTAAGTATTGATTTACATTTTGATGAAATCATTTAATATATTTTATAAGTGATGCCTACAAAATATATTAAATCAATTATTCTCTTCGGTCAATATCTTCAATATTTATTTATTTTCTACACGAAATTTGTTTGCCTACATAGCGGACTGTATAATGTACAAGTAAAAATAACTGACGTCTCAACTATCTACTTACAACGAAAAAGGCATACGGGAGGTCACATAACCGGATACAACGATAATAGATGGACACTAAGAACAGTGCAATGGCCTTGACCAAGAAGCACTGGCGCGGGATGGCGGCCATATTTGCTATTGTTATTTCTTTTATAATAGAATAAAATAAGGCTATTAAACGAGGAACAAATGGTTTTATAACAATAACAATGATTATGCCTAGTTATTAATATAAAACTTATAATCTCTGATCTTATTAATTACATAGTAAACAAGTCTTACAAAATGTTATATATTTATAATTTATATAGATACATTATAAGAATAGTTCAACCATTTAAGTCAACAGAATGCTTGAAGTTTTTATACTATAATTTCGTAAGGAGCGTTTTAGAATATTCGGGTAGTATTTGGTCCCCGCTATATGACACCTACATTAATGTCATTGAAAACATCCTAAAGAAATTTATAGAAATGATGTTTCTACATTCCCTACTCTCCAAACGTTTCGATACCCCAGATCTGTTAGCTTAACTAGCGCTTAATGTGGCATTTAAGCGCACACGTCATACAAAGTACCGTTTATTTTATATACCACTAGTGCATACTCGTTTTGCAAGAAACTCTGTTCTGAATCGTATCTCGCATACTGTTGACCAATTGTGTTATTCGTAACTTTCTAGGATCTTTGCTTCATATTACAAAATATTATTTTGAGGTGCTAATCAGAATAAGTTAACAAATTTTTCTAAATACGATCTTATTTTCTACGAAAATAAGATTGGCCATTTGTGACCATTTTGTGCCCAATTGAAATAATTTTATACCCGATAGCTAGGATCAATTTGAGCCACCAATTTTTTCCCGATGACTATGGAATTTTAAACTATTTGTAGTATAGACCAAATGCTAAAAATCACAGACCATTTATGACCATTTCGTGACCCATACGGACTACTCTTTTAGAGTTAAAATTTCGGCATCCAGGCCGCTTAATAGATGTGGCCGCATTACTCATTTATTTATTTAAAGAATCATTAATCTTGTGAAATAAACAAACACCATACGTAACTTAAGATAAGAGCTAAGCAGCGTATTCCATTCAAATTAAAAACTCTTAGAAATTTAACGGAAAATATAAGTTTAATATAACAGAAATTATTTGACTTATATTTATAACTCAAGTGCGGGCATTATACAAATCTATTTCTTCATTTTTTTACGCAAGCAATGAAAAACAGAAAGTGTAGTAAAACCTACAGACAAAATACTTGTAAACATGTTTTACTATTTATGTTATTATGTTACTGGATCAAAATGCATCATTGAAATATAAATTTTCTTTTTTATTTTCAGTCGGATAGTCATATCTAACATCTCATTCATACTCTAAACATTTTCCCACATTCCGTTTGTACTTATTACTTGCAGTTTTCAAAGGTCACCTCGAGCATAGTTGTTATCAATCATCAAGACTAGCCAAATCTATAAAAGATGTTTCACTGTAAAAAAAAACCAAAACGAGAAACCCTTGTATAAATTAATATAAAATGACTGTCGTTTGTTCTACTAACGAAATACTTAGTAACGTGATGCATTCTTTGGTTACGTAATGAAGTAAAATACACAAGGGCTTCATAGATTTGCTTTAAATACTCAAACTATATAGTGATCAAAGAGGAATGAAAGTTGTATATATATTAGTTCTTGTTTAATTTTGGCCACGTTACAACTCTTCATGCCAAAAAAGCTCTAAATGTGCAATCGTAACGTTACTAGTTGACATCCGTATATATGTTAAGTCAATTAATGAAATCCGGTGAGACGATATAGGTCCAATCGACAACTTTAAACAAAATAACCCTATTACTTGACTAGAAAATGTCATAATATTCATATTAGTTTTTAAGACTTACAATATGTGAAGAATTAATTACATGAAATATATATCAAACATAAGCTTGATATTTTTTTTTTCATATCCGTATATATAAACGTACGATTAAGTAACGGACTCCAAAGATACTTGTTATATCTTTTGGAAAATGACAAGTTTGTGTCTTTACTCAAAGCCTGAATTCGATTAAAAACGTCATTGAACACGAAAATTAAATTTCACAGCAAAATCTATAAAAAATATATAAATACTGAGATCATATTGTACGTTTTAAGAAAGAAATATTTAAATATATCCCCAGCATGATACCAAAATCAACAAAGCCTTTGTGTTCTGAAAGTAGGTACTCTAAATAATCCGTCCATTTGAGAGAATCGTGTTGTATGTGTGTATCCAGTTACAACTTAACAATGCTGCTATTCTACGAAGCAAACCATAATATTATAATCGGATTGTTTCGAATTCCTCCATGTTGCAATCGGTTGAATAACTACACAAAGGCTCAAATTTCTTTCATTAATTTGTAAAGAAATTTTAAACATATTTATGTATTGTACATTAATACTTTTTTAAATATTCAAAGGATAGCTATATTATCTACAACATTGAAATTTGAAAACGTATATTAATTTTATCTTGTTTATCTCTTGATTGCTACAGAGCACTCTTTACCATTGGTGAGTTAAAACTAATGTAAGCTCTAAGAAATTTATGTGTACCATTAGCCTAACGATGACTAGTCGTTTCGATAGTAATACTGCTCAGTGCGAGAGGAACCGCAGTTTCGGACGTTTGCACTCGGCCGAGCGGCCGGTGGTGCAATCTGCAGGATTATACCTGAACGCCTCTAAGGCCGAAGCCAACCTAGCCGAATCCGGGAAGGATACGCCCACTGTGGAGCACCGAGAGTCGGGTGGCTATAAACAATGTGACTTTACTAGTCGCGTTGCACTTGTGCGGCGAGACGTCGAAGCTCACTAGGATCTCGACGATGGATGCTATCGGTTCTTAACAAGTGCACCACGGCAACGAGGTCCTGAACTAACCTTAGTTCGATGCTGGCAGCTCGGAATAGTCTGTAGACGACTTACGTCAGGATCGTGCTTCGTGGCAGTCTGTGAGGGACGCCTGTGTGATGTTCAACAGTGGACTCAAAGAGGCTGAAATTATGATGATTAGCCTCATTAGTATGGATAATAAAAAATTAATGGTGTGCATACCTGCAACGTAGCTCCATAAGATATTCATTACCGACATGGCCAAGATATTTATTGGATTTACAGGTTTATGGGAATTACTCTCTAGATAGTTAATAATATTAATCATCTCATCCTGAATTTCCTTTTCCATTTTAGTCTTTCCAAAGCCAACATTTCTTAATTGTTTAACCGTGAATTGTCTATGTTCCTTCCACAAAAATCCGTCCACAAACGTAATTCCTAGGTGAAAAACTTCAAGTAAATACCATACCATTTTTCGTATGTGCAAAAAGGTTCTTTCTCTCAACACCAAACGGTAACACGAAAAATGATCAACTTAATAATCTCATTTTAACAAAACAGTAGAATAAGTATGGTGATAATTGCCTCTTGGAGGTTAGCTAGGCTTGTATCTGTTCCTTGACTATTTTATTTTAAGTAAGATCCATGAAACTAGCCAGTAAAAGTGATTTATACTTTCAAATAAATTAAGTGTATTGATAATGTAAAAAAATACCCAATCTTTTTCCAAGACATCTTAACCTTATAAAAAAATTGTCGGGTCTTCCTTCAAATTCTTTTTCAGTAAACACTTGTCGTATATTTTTCAGTCCATAAACAACAACGACCAGCTCTCTACCCAATTTCAAACCTAAGATGTCTGTAGAAAACTCTTTGGCCAGGAATGAAAGCCCTTTCCATTGTGATCCATGTTTCTTCGCCAATTTTTTGACCACACCACTGCATCCAAAAATTGGATACCATTTTGGACCTGCAACAAATTAATTTAACCATGTTTTACCTGTTTTGATCAAATCTGCTTTTATTATTGGAAATCGTGCATACCAATAAAGCAACTGAAAAGTCTGGTTGTAAACTTTTTATACACAAAATTGTCCATTATTCGTTAACGGTGTTCAAAAATGGAGGAGGTTTGAAATCGAGGGCAATGCTCAAATGTTAAAAACAATGTTTTCTAAAACTATTAAGACACATTTCCGACTTTAACGGTTACTAGTTAAATAATTTATTGTTCTATAATAATGTACAGAGACTTGTCGATATCGATAACTGATTTCTCTGGAGACAACAGAGGGCTAGAAACAAGAAGTAGGTATTAATCACTTTAATCCTCTTTAAGAATTATTTTCTTAAAGAAGATTAAAGACGAGGCGGTTGTCAATTCGACGCGTATTTTTAACCGACATCAAAACGGAGGAGGTTATACATTCTGATTTTTATGTTTTTTTTTTCTGTATGTTCCGGCATAACTCCGTCATATATAGACTGATTTGAAAACTTATTTTTTGTTCCAAAGGGTTTTCCGAAAGGCTTCCCATTTAAATTTTATATAGATCTGATAATGAGTTTCGGAGATAGACAACGGAACTCTTCAATTAACAATCAACAGCGATTGCTTCTTCGCATAAATATACATCATTTTCGCAATCACACAACATAATCAAGTCTGTATATTCGGGGTTAAGCAACGTTAAAAGTTATTCAATATAGCTGAGAACGCGAAAAGGGCATATTTGCACAATTAATACGCTGTTTTCGCGTTCTCTGCTATCACGTGTGCATTGGAACCGTCAGTCCAGCGACAGTGGGATCAATTCTAACTGAAACTCCATCGAAAAAATTTCCTATCAACAGTAATCCTTGACGTTCGAAAAGCAATTCAAGTTGAGCCGTTTTCAATTCTTGGTATTCTTTGTAAATAAACCTATAGCCAACCGAGTGTGAATTAAACTAATACAATTATTGATATTTTCTTAAGTTTCGTCAATTAATCTTAACATTTAAATTTAACAGTACCTGGAGGACCAAGACTTGCTCGGTTTTCTTTTTTGGTAAATCGTGTATTTTAGCAATTACATTTAGATACAAATTACTGAGTAATGAAATATGCATAATATTTTTCGATCTTACCTACGTAATAATAAGAAAATATGAACTGATGTTTTTTCACAAAAGAAAGAACTTTAAAAAAAAGGGAAAAAATAAACAAAATCTTCTGGATCGACAAAAAATAAAAAAAATAAAGAAAGCAATGATCTGGTGTAGAAAAAGAAGTAAAAAAATTAGTATGTAATTATCGTGATACGAACCGCGGCCATCTGTTTTGGGGCCGCCCGATTACCGACCGAGCTATTATAAGATTTTTTTTGCGGCGAAATTTACCGTCATATTCGAATGATATTTTTCATTCCTTAAAAAAGGGGCAAAAGGACATTTCCTAAAAGTGAAACCTAGCTAGATCGATTTTTCGCCCCCGAATCTACGCACATACTAAATTTCATGAAAATCGCTGGAGCCGTTTCCGAGTTTCCGATTATATATATAAGAAATGCTCGTTTAAAGGATAAAAGATAAGATATAGGATAATTTTTTTTAACAATCTATTTTCTCACTCGACAGTACTTTCATTTTAAATAATTAGAGAATTGATACAATAGAATAGAATATACATTATTGCACGCAAGGAAATAAAAAAGAAAGAAGATACAGGAAACATAATGTACATACAGGCGGCCGTATTGCTTAGGTAGCAACTTCTTCCAGGCAACCTTGTTTCCTTATTTGTTTTTTATTCATGTCTCGGGCAGATTGTCGCCGTTTTACCATATGGGCAGAGTCTTAGCTAGGTCTATCTATTTTATAATAATTGAGTACTAAAATTTAGTCACTAAAAATAAAAAAGATTTAAACTTTAATTATGTACCTATCTAATCCACCTTAATTTGTGTAACATAGTTAAGAGTATGATTTTGTGCTCTGACCAGTGCCATTATTTCTCCATTGGTAATGGTGAACAATGGCATGAATATTTTGAAGATATAAGATCATTGAAATTCCCGCTAATTTAAATTATCCTTATTATTTGTACTATACTACTAAGCTAAATAATATGTATTCTATATTTATGCTCACCTTTTGTTCAAAACTAATAATAATCAAACGCGATATATATACTTAGCATTGATTGAAACAGACACAATAATGAAAATCAGTGTAAACTGGCGCATAAGTGTTGCTTTTGGACTACCGGTTCCATTTAAAAGGTAAAAGGAACTGTTTAAACAATGAATGATTTGAACTTTCGTCATCGAAAGGAAAATCGGTTTGAAATGAAATTAAAAACATGCAATTGAAGAGCAAAGTCGATTTTTACTGAATTTAAAAAACATTGGGTTTTAGTTTTTTGCCTTTAAATATAACTTCGTAAAAGCTTTGGCAAGGAAGATTTAATTTCCTTTTTTTTATTTCTCAAACAATAAGGCAGTTCAGCTAATGGTAACTGATAACCGCCGCCCATCTACAACACCCAAGAGTTTGCAGATGCATTGATAACATTTAAAAAAAAGCGTGGCCCCGGTTACCGAGGCCAGACACGAATTTAATTCTACACTGCAGACCGGTCTTCTGCGAGACGATGAAACTTCCAGGAGCGAATTTGCCCATTCAACAGCAGAAGCTGTTGTATGGTTTTCCTACTATAATAGCCCCTATTTCCTATCTGCGTCTGTTTATTACCCTGAGATTAAGTACGACGAATCCCTATCTCGTGAGAATTGTTCTACAATACGAAGTCGTGTCGCTCCAACAATCTATTATTTTACTTCCAGTTACTGGTGGGTTGGCATTTGTCACTTTGTATCATAGCAAAGCAATGGATATGCAATGTAGTAAATAATCATCAAATCACACACAAACATTCTTATGATTTTTTGCCGAAACATTTTCATCCGTATGTTATTATAATAATTATTTTTACGAGATAAAATGTACTCCATAGGATATTGCAGCGTAAACTATCCATATTCTATGCTGCTGTACTGTACATGGTGAAAAAGTGCCAAGCGAGCGGACGTTTCACCTGATGTTAAGTTCATACCGCCGACCATGGACATCCGCTACATCCGAAGAAAATTGGGCTCCGGCAACCTCACTCACCAGACGAAACGCGAATGTATTATACTTTCACGATAGGCCGGTCTTTTGTGAGGTCGTGTTACTTACCCGGATGAGCCTGCCCATTCGTGCAACAGCCGAGGCTGTTGCGTTGCCCTACCACCGTAAGATGGATGCTGGCAGCTAAGGATCGTGCTTTGTGAAAGTCTATGGGGAAAGGCTATGTTCAAAAGAGGACTCAAGTTCAAGTTATAACTAAGGTAAGCCTGAAATGCAATGATGTTGATAAAATAAAATAAAAATTACATTATTAGATTTCCAAAAAAAAAATAGGTACTTTGTGAAAATTACTGGGGTTATTTATACTAACCCGACCTCTAAACGACTTCACGTTTAAGTGAATAGTTCATCTTGTCCTCATTAATAATTTGTGAACCAAAAGCGACTATCTAGTAAATTCTAAATTGTATTAAGGCTTATGATGTATTAATTGTTTCATGACATAAAGCAAAGCTCGCTTGTATCTGTGTTAAACAGTAGAGAGTACCTGTCAACTGACAGTTGAATTAACTACACTAACCACAATGACCACTGCACAATACACATGCGTCGCGACGAGATGACATTTCCGGCGTCATAGCATTACAATAATGTTAATTAAATACTGGCCACGTAGTATATGTGTCTAAACTGAGCTGTGATTGGCACTTTTAATTATTCAGAAACAACAGACTGTGACTCTTAAGTATACAATGAGGAAGGAAAGCATCTGTAATAAATTTTAATTTTCTTTTTCATACTTTATACCATTTCGTTTTCCTATTACACGCTCTTCGTACCATTGCCTATAAAAATGTATTAAAAGTAAAATTCCTCCAACGTCAAAGCTAACATCACCATGGGCAATAATTATGTTCATAATAAATAGATCTTAGATACCAACGACGCAGATACCAAGAAAACTAAGTAATTCACAATGTCAGGATAAACAAACGTTAAACGTGAAATAAAGAAGTATTTTTTTCATTTTTATGACACAAATATTTACCTAGGTTTAAAACGTGAGAAATATTTCATTGAAACTGCCAAGATATGTTTTATACCATCAGTACCTGAATATCCTTCACTTAAAAATAAATTAGAAATACATTGTAACCCTGAAATTTTCGCATAGTACCACGATAAGTCAATAGTGGAATTGTAAGCGTTTACTGGGAATAATTTAGTAATACTTAAATATGTGTTTATCAATGATATTTATGTATATGTATATGCATATATAATATGAATCACGGAAACGGCTTCAACGATTTTCATGAAATTTTGTATGGTTTCGAGGGCTATAAATCGATCTATCTAGCTTTCATTTTTAGAAACCGTCGTTTTACCCCTTTTAAAGGAAATGAAAAACTGCTACAATATCATTAGAACACAAAGTTATATTTCGCCATTATCTACAATATTATAACAGCTTGGGTGATCATCGGACCCCCGCAGGGTCCTCGGGGTCCCCCATGAAAATAGGTGTACCACAAGGATCAATCTTGGGCCCATTTTTATTTCTAGTATATATAAATGATCTCCCCTCCTATGCCAGAGAGTTTTGTGATGTTGTACTGTTTGCTGACGATACATCACTCATATTTAAGGTTGACCGAAATTTATCCAATTATGACGACGTAAATGGTGCACTTTCGCATATCCTTCACTGGTTCACCATAAATAATATGGTATTAAATGCCAAAAAAACTAAATGTATTCTTTTTACTCTTCCTAGTGTGAGAAGGCAAAGTTTTAGTTTATTATTAAATAACGTATCCCTCAATCCTGTTGAGTCTGCAGTCTTCTTGGGGATTACAGTAGATTCAAAGCTTCAGTGGAGTCCCCATCTATCATCTCTTGCGAGTAGGCTAAGCTCCGCTGTTTTTTCTATTAGGAAGGTTAGACAGCTAACAGACATCGACACTGCCAGACTTGTTTACTTTAGTTATTTTCACAGCATCTTATTGAACGGCATTTTGTTGTGGGGTAGTGCATCTGATATAAATTCTATATTTATTCTTCAAAAAAGAGCTGTCTGAGCAATCTATAACATCGGAGCCCGGGATACACTCAGAGATATTTTTAAAGAGATTAATATACTCACTGTTGCGTCCCAATATATTTATTGTAATATCTTGTACGTTAGACATAATCTTAATTGTTATCTAAAGAATAGTGACAGACATAAATTAAATACTAGAAATAAGGACAAATTAATTACACTATTGTTTCTTCTAAAAAAAGTAAATAGATCGTTCATGGGGCAAAGTATGCGCATGTATAATAAAATCCCACAATCGGTATTAAGTCTGCCACTAGATGAATTTAAACGCAAAATTAAAAGCGAACTTATGGCTAAGGCATATTATACCATTGCAGAATATCTTGACGACGCCAATGTGTGGGGTTAATGCTGTTGATACTCACGTAGGCTAAAATGACATACTTGGTCTATAGTAAATTAATCGTTTGCCGTTTTCTTCTCAACAGAAAGTGCTTTCCGAACCGGTGGTACCTTACGAACGTATTAATTTTTATGTAAAATTTTTGACATTTCATAAGAACGCGCAAGCGTCAATGTGAATAAATATATTTTTGATTTTGATTTTGATTGTCTGGAAACTAGAAAACCGCGGTTCGGGTCCGGATGATATTTATTTTCTTTGTTTCCCTTTTTTCAAGTTCCTTCTTTTGCGAGAAAAAAAAATCGGCAAAGCTTCATCCATGTACTTTTGAATAATAAAGGTTAAACTTCTGAGATGTAATCGGTCTACAACAGGACCACGATAGATTAGTTAATTGGTGTAATTATAATAAAATGTCAGTCATGTTGAAAAGTGTTTCTATATCAAATTTACTTGCAATAAAAATTTCGTCAGTTCACTATTTTCTAGTTCTAGTGGTAGTTAGTTTACTATTTACTAGTTCCTGTACTTAATCAGAAATTGGGATTTGTAACGGAAATACCGAGATTTAGGAATAATGCCGAAACAAAAGTTGAAAAGTTTTCATTATTGTCAATTGTCATTATTTTGCTTAATCCGTTAAATTTAAATTCAAATATATAACATAGGAGCATCATCACTTATTGATAAAAAGAAAATCACTGCACTGAGAAGAACCGGCGAAAGAAACTCAGCTTTATCCCTTTAAACAAGTTTCTTAGCCATTCTTTTGGGCCCAGATTATAAAGGGCACAATAGCCCTCTTTTGCAGGATTAAGATTGTATTTAACGTTACCCAAAAGAAGAATGCCATAAGAGATACTGTGGAAATAACTAAAATATACCAATCGAGTCATATCTACATCAGTCAACTGTCTTATCTTTTTGACCGCGACCGCGAATCGACCACGCGATGAATTAGAAATATCCGATTTAGAATATAACAGTGTGGTTTACCGTCTGTCATTTAGGGGTTTATGCGCGGTTTTTTTTTGTTTTTATTATTTTACGCGCTTCCTGGTTATAAGCGCCTTCTAAATCATTATGGTATTCGTTCTTTGGCCAGTAGACATAAGCTTTTGGATTAATTATTTATCAGGACGGGTAGACTGTAACCTTAGTACAATTGAAGTGTATTTAAGTGTTCCCCACAGGCTACCCAGGAGAAAATCGTTTAATCTATTTATGATGCCAGCATTAAAAACTAATGTAGGCTAATCATCAATATTGGTGGACTAACGACATGTATTTTTGCCTTGTTTATATCAAACTTATTAGTTTGTTATTACTTTTAATAAAATTTATATGTATTATTTCTCACGGATTCGAAGACAAACTTTTCAGTATTTAAGGAGATATAAACAAGGGCATACCTTTATTTGTATTTACCTTTTATAGTACCCATTTCACATATCCGCATCTTAAATATATAAACAACCCCTCTATTTGCATATATGATTATTACACATTAAAATTAAAAAAATATGTAGTTATTAATATAATACTTTTTAATTTTATCTAATAAAACCTACCTCTAAGAATGGAAATAATTCATCATCAGCATGACAGTGTAACATGTTATCATCTAAATACTTTAACCTAACTCAATCAATGAAATTAAGAACGATAGTCAGCGCCCAGCTCTAATCATAAAATCACTCATCGATAGATTAAATTTGTGAGTGAGTTTGAATACGCACAGATCAGAATCCCGTTCGCATTTTGCATTTTATATCAATGTAACGTTCGCGAAAACCAAACCAATTGAGGATGTACTACCTAGAAATAAACCATGACGCGCATACATGTTTCATTCTCTACTTATTTTCTCTAAAATATAAATTGAAAATTGTAAAAAAAAAGTATAATTTAACTATCAATTACTTAATTCTGTTAATAAAAAATTTATAGGAAACAACAGGTGAGAGTCGAATATCTTGGGACTGTCATCAGCTCTTACCATAATTATGTAATAGATTCATCCGATTAGTGTGTCGATAGCAGGTAACGTGAAGCGAACAAGCAAAAAATGTTGATGTTTACGATTTAGTAATATTTGACTATGCTATACCAATCCTAAACGACTTCTACTCCCATTGTAAAACCGTGCAAAGGTTATCATTATTATACTATTAGATATTTTAAGAAAAAAAATGGTCTAGCTTTGTGAAATTCAGTTAAAATTTTTCAGTTAAAAGTTTAATTTTTTTAATTTTTTTAATATACATAATGAATTTTAAATTGAATATTTTGATATATAAATTAATCGATGTAAATGTATTTATTTAATACTTGGTATCGAAGAAGCACTTACCGATTTGTTATGTGAAAAGTTGTCAAGCGAGTAGGCGGTTCACCTAATGGTTAGTGATTACCACCGAACATGGAAATCTTCAAAACTCGAGGGCTTGCAGATGCGTTGACAACCTTTAAAAATAAGTGGCCCGGGTTCCTCACTCACCAGACTAATACTACCCCAGGGGAGCCTGCTCATTCCTGTAATAGCCGAAGCTGGCCATACGATCGAGGTGATTTATAGGTAACATAATCAAATATTACTAAAATCGGACTCTTTTGTTAAGTTTAGATTTCGAAAGTTTCGATGAACTAAAATATCCTATACATAGAAGTATTCCCAGTGGCGGCGTTCTAAATTTAGCTTGACAATTGGTATTCATCAGTCCATTTGCTATGCGGTTTGTAAGAAAAGAGTCAATCTCTGAATTGAAATATGATTTAGGTGGTATTTAGGTGACTAAATTCATCATGTAACATTCATTAATCTTTTTTAAAATCATTTTAAGTCGATTTTAATTTTTAATTTCAAATCTTGGTCGATCACTTAGGCCTACAGTTGTACAACAGTAGTATTATTACTATTATATAAAAAAAGATCATATTTCATACGTACCTGGGGGATACTTTGTGGGCTTTATAACACTCTTAACTAAGATAATAACAATAATTATGGAGATTAAAATAACGAATATGGGAATCATTGCATAAGGCAATTTAAGACTGCGCGCGCGGCAACAACTCTATTCCCAATCGCAACTCACGTGACGTCTGGTGAGCGACTGATCGCTATTTATTGTGTCCGAACACATTTTTACCGTTTCGTTTTATCATTGACAGCAACATTGCCACCGGTCACGTTAATCGCTATTAATATGTATCTTATAGCAAATGTTCTAATGTTTAATTTCTGAAAATATTATGTTAAGCTTAACATTAACTTGTTTTACCTTTCCAAATAATTATCTCATTTAACTCTATTAAACTTGTCTGATATAAATAAATTTGAATTCTGGAGCTTACTTCACATTATTACCATCTCGAGGTTCATTCAGGTTGTATCTAAAAACACAAGTGAAATAAATAATTATTCAAATAAATATTTTAGCATGCAGGTTTTTGAAATTTCTGTCGTTGATTATTTATATACAGCGTGTCTTTACAATCGCGACAGTAAATGAACACACATATAGGGGATAACTTTTAAAATTATATTAAAAATTTACATTCTTTAAACATCAATATTTACAGAGTTATTAAATTTTCCAAAACAAAGAAGTTTAGATCACCCTTACGTATAAAAATGTAACGTAAAGGTTATTTGTAAAGGTCACATAGTATTTGAATGGGTTGAATGAATTTAAAAGAGACAAAACATACTGTTAGAAGGAGAGGATTGTAATGCGACGCTGTGGCCCGAGTTGTATAGGATGTTACAAATTTTGTTTCTTTTTTACTTAATTAGTTTGTTTGAAAAATATTTTTTTTAATTATGGATTTTGTTTAACTTTAATATTTTTTATGATTATTGGCAAGTAGCGTTAGACGTGTGTTCATTTATTGTCGCGATGGTAACGACACGCTGCATATAATATAACTTTGATTAAAAAACGAATAAATTTCATGGATATTTATTCGATATCAATAGTTTATTAAATCATAATATCAAAGAAATCTAATTTAATTCTGATTTCAATGTTGCCTTAATAAATGAGGCTCACTCGTTTTTTAATTACAAGCAAATCAAATGTAGTTTCAAACCTATCGTCACCTACTTACCACCATATGAATTTAGCTCAATGTTCGTTAAATTTATATGCGTGGTTTACAAATAATAAGTAAACAAATAAAAAGAAAAGCTTTTCTCTACGTTTGAACGTGATCTTTCATTGCTGTGATAGGTTTTCCAGCCTGGTAGCCAGCCAGGTAGCTATCCGCAGTAGAACAAAAAGTAACCTACATTGCTCAGATGATTTGCAAGTTGATGTTGCGATGTTCGAAGAAACGGTAACCATTGGAGAAGAAAAGATCTCGAGTTGTAGCCTCATAGTGGCCATGGCAGTCTAGGATAAACCCCCACTAAATGGAGTGACGACATGTACAAATGTGCGGGAAGTCGATGGATGCAGGTGGCTCGGAATCGTGCTTCGTGGCAGTCTGTGAGGGAGTTCAGCAGTGGACTCAAATAGTTATTAAAAGAGTTAAAAAGTTTGTTCTTTTTCTACTTCACTTTTACTTATTTTTTTACTTTACTTATTTTTCGCTTCTGAGCTTCATGTGTGCCCTTGACCTTGGATTTATTTTTATGTATTATTACTGACTCAGAACCAGTAAGAATTAAGGAATTTAGATGTTATCTGATTGCAATAGGCGGGGGGAGAGGGTTCTATTTTTGACCACATTTATGATCTAGCTTATACACATTACACAATACATCTGCGACAGTGGAGCTCTGGCTGCTGATGCTACAACATGCCAAATAACTTCTGCATTTGATGAACAAGATTGCATCATGATAATTTCTTGTAATTCACACATTACTAAATAAATTCATGCAGATTACATTTATTTTTAAATGGAACGAAACGCCGAGAACTATACAGCGTGTCTTTACAATCGCGACAATAATTGAACACACATATAGAAGATAACTTTTTAAAACTGTATTAAACGTTTACTTTATTTAACCATCAATATTTACAGAGATATTAAATTTTACAAAACAAAAAATTTTAGAACAACCTTACGTATAAAACTGTAACGTAAAGTTCATTTGTAAAGGTCACAAAGCATATGAATTCGAAAGAGACAAAACATAGTGTTAGAAAGAGAGGCTTGTAATGCAACGCTGTAGCAACAAATGAAAAAGTCTCTGAATGTATGAATCAGACAGTTGTAGTTGTATAGGTGTTACAAATTTTGTTTCTTTTTTACTTAATATATACACTGTATATATAATTAAAAATAAGGAGGGAAGAGGTCATACATAAGAAATTATAGACTGATTGCTATCGTTCAATACATGGTAATAAGGTTATTAAAGTTGTTAAGGTAATCTCTGAAGGCCCCTTTATTTTACTTACTTATCTTGTATTAACTGATGTTTTTGCTTTCAGTCCCGAGACTATTAAAGCTTCATCGGACGCAGATCCGGTGGGCTAGCCAGAACCCACGGGTTTGGACCCTCCGCTATGGGTAGGGTCGCGCATGTGCTCATGCGTGCGTTTAACTACTATGGTGTGTCATCTAAGGGCCGTCGAGGTCGCCGGTTCGGACCGAGACCCCTACGGCCGTCGACTGTGCATTTAGCTAATCGGTGGCTGGGAGCGGTGAGAACCGCCCCGGAACGCGGGTCTACCTTGTACGCGTTGTGTGGGTCTCGCCGTGCTCGGAGGCGAGGGCGAACTGGTGTGATTGTTGTTACACTAACTGTGGGTGTAGTGTTATCCGGCGGGACCCCCGGCGGTGGGTCCATCGTATCTAAGTCCTCTTCGTTGACCGGGTCGATGAGGACGTTTCGCGGGCGACGCTTGTTTACGTTCGCGTTTGTGTCCGGTTGGTAGTTTGCACCACCAGAGGGTTGGGATGATGCTTGGCTCTATCGAAGAACCGTTTTGTCAAATCTTAATGGGAAGTACAACCGCAGGTAGAACACCTGCGGTTGTACTTCCCATTAAGGTGTTTTTATGGGTCTAATTAACGACGCGACGGAGCGCGGTTTTATTGCGCGGACTATTGTTCTTTACGGTTGGCTCGTAAAAGCCCAAAGGGCTTCCACAAACGTTTTGTGTTGGCTAATTGCCCTAAGACGCTCGTGGCCAGATGTGGCGGCCGCTATTTTAGCGGACAATACGGCGAGTTCCTGCCTATTAATTCTATCTAATAAGCTGCAGATGTTAGCTATTTGCGCGAAGGGGTCGTCCTTGTTTTCCGCGAAAACTGACGGAATTGGCTGCACCTGCGGCCGCGGCGCCGTTTGAGAGGCGGGCAGCTGTTGCGCGATCGTTCGTGAGGCGACCAAGATTACCGGCGCGGTTACCTGCGCGGCCACCTTTTTTTTTTTTTTTTTTTTTTGGTATCGGGGGGGAAATCTTCAAAAGATACCCTGTCACTTTACATGACAGGGTTATGTGGGGTTCTTACCCACTAAAACCCCCTCGGTGGCCACCTTCTGTACATTTGGAGGGACTCCGGGATCTCCCATGGAACGCACCGGTGTCCCTCGGTAGTACGCCTGAGCACGCCTCGGTGAAGGATAAACCTTCTCCAACCCCCTCACCCTCTTACAGCAACACGAGACCACTTCGTGTGCTGCCCATCCGTGTCCCCTTTTATTCGCCTTTTACGACAGGCAAGGGATACCTTAGCCTTATTCTATAAGCCCGGGACTACAGGGCTGACGGAGCGGCTCGTCCGTTTCTACCACCCGCGCGCCTTCGTCTCCGAGCGGGGTCGGCCCTCTCCCGTTCCCGCTCAGCGATCTCCTTCTGGAGCATTACTGCTTCGCAGAAGGAGACCAGTGCCATCCAAGCAGATTTCTCAATCAGTGCAGCCGCCACTGCAACTGGTGGAGAAAGGTCCTGCCCGAGCTTTTGGACCAGGATCCGACGTTCTGACTCCCAAACGGGGCACTCTGCAAGAGTGTGTTGCGCGGAGTCCCGGTCCCCACAACAATGGTGGCATTGCGTTGTCGGTTCGCGTCCAATTCTATTTAGGTACTCACCAAAGCATCCATGCCCGGTGAGCACCGTCAACCGGAAGGTGACGTGCGCGAATCCCCTCGCACTTAGCCAGGCTTCGAAGCTGGGCAGGAACACAGTGACGATTCGTTGGCGCGAGTTCCGAGCTTCTCCCAAGCGCTCGCGCCAAATCTCCAACCCCCGTGTACGCTCCTGCTCCCACACCTCTCCCGCATCCAGGGGCTAGGCATCATCCTGGGGTAACCGGAGGCGAGTATAAACTCGCGCATCCATCTCCGCCAGGATGTCCAGTGGTGGAAACCGAGCAAGGATAGTGGCCGCCTCAAAGGATATCGTTCGATACCCTCGTGCGATCCTGATGGCTTTTCTTCGCTGCAGGCTATAAAGTTTAGACCTGCAGCGTCGGATACCCGTTAGTCGGTGAGACCATACGGGCGCCCCGTAGAGGGCCATCGATCGCACGACTCCCGCATAGAGGCGGCGAACTCCCTCCCTGGGGCCCCCGAGATTAGGCAGTAATTTGTGCATAGCACCTACTACCTTCTCGATACGGGGGGCCAAGCGATTGAAGTGCTCTTCGAAGCCCCAGCGACTATCCAGAGTGAGACCAAGATATTTCATCACCGATCTCACCTGGATCTGCACCGACGCGAACCGACCAACTGGGTGGATCCTTTCCTCTTCGGAGTTTATGGAACCACAGCGCCTCGGTCTTATAAGGCGCTATCCGAAGTCCCAGCTCGTGGATTTTACCCACGACGCATGCCACCCCAAGCTCGGCGAGCCGACTGGTGCTCTCGAAGCTCTCCCCTTCGGCAATTACCAAGGTGTCATCTGCATAGCAGATAACGCTTACACCGGCGGGGAGAACAATACGCAGGACTGCGTCGTAAGCGAGGTTCCAAAGCAATGGTCCCAAAACGGAACCTTGTGGAACTCCGCAGTTCACCTCCCTCCGATGGACTAACGAGTCCCGACCCACATACTGGATACACCTGCCGTGC